ACAGGAGGACTTGTGGCACCTTAGAGACTAACCAATTTATTTGAGCATCAGCATTCGTGAGCTACAGCTCACTTCATCGGATGCATACTGTCATTCGGAGGTGGGAATCTCTCCTGTTGAAGCTGTTTGAGTGTGTAAGAAATGCTTAAATAGTCATTGGGAAAGAGTACGAATGACTATAAAATGAGTGTATTCACCCAGTGGAAAGGAATGAGTGAATGGTGCAAAGACAGGAAATACACAGAATAAGGAATTAGAGCCTCTTCCTAGACCTTTGAGTTTTGTATGAACTTTTGGACAGAGATGACATCCATAAAACATGTCTCAGAGTCTTGGTATATGCGTAAAGTCTGAGAGCAGAGTCTAGCCCTTTACTGTGAAACAGATTTCTTGAGACATAACCCAGGGTAGCATATAGTGACAGTTTGTATCATAAGAGCGGTTTCGACATTAACATGGATAAGCACTGTACATTAAGTACTATAAATTCACCTGTGTTATGACTATATATGGGTAAAAAGGGGCGAATGACTATGTATGCGTAAAAAGAAAAGGGGTACTTGTGGCACCTTAGAGACTAAAATTCATTTGAGCATAAGCTTTCCTGAGCTACAGCTCACTTCATCGGGTGCATGCAGTGGAAAATACAGTGGGGAGATTTTATATACACAGAGAACATGAAACAATGGGTGTTACCATACACACTGTAACGAGAGTGATCAAGTAAGGTGAGCTATTACCAGCAGGAGAGAGGAAAAAAAAAAAAACCTTTTGTAGTGATAATCAAGGTGGGTCATTTCCAGCAGTTGACAAAAATGTGTGAGGAACAGTGGGGGGAGAAGGGAGGGGAACAAACATGGGGAAATAGTTTTACTTTGTGTAATGACACATCCACTCCCAGTCCTTATTCAAGCCTAATGTAATGGTGGCCAGTTTGTAAATTAATTCCAATTCAGCAGTATCTCATTGGAGTCTGTTTTTGAAGTTTTTTTTGTTGAAGAATTGCCACTTTTAGGTCTGTAATCGAGTGACCAGAGAGATTGAAGTGGATGCCAAGTAAGGTTACGCTGCCAGAGTGGCATGAAGGGGCCTGTGTGTCCAGGAGAATCAGAGCCAGAAGAGTACCCAGAAGTTACCTGCTACAGGACAGGCCCAACAAAGAAAATAACAGAACGCCACTAGCCATCACCTTCAGCCCCCAACTAAATCCTCTCCAGCGCATCATCAAGGATGTACAACCTATCCTGAAGGACGACCCATCACTCTCACAGATCTTGGGAGACAGGCCAGTCCTTGTTTACAGACAGCCCCCCAACCTGAAGCAAATACTCACCAGCAACCACACGCCACACAACAAAAACACTAACCCAGGAACCTATCCTTGCAACAAAGCCCATTGCCAACCGTGTCCACATATCTATTCAGGGGACACCATCATAGGACCTAATCACATCAGCCACACTATCAGAGGCTCGTTCACTTGCACATCCACCAATGTGATATATGCCAACATGTGCCAGCAATGCCCCTCTGCCATGTACATTGGCCAAACCGGACAGTCTCTACATAAAAGAATAAATGGACACAAATCAGACATCAAGAAATATAACATTCAAAAACCAGTCGGAGAACACTTCAGTCTCTCTGGTCACTCGATTACAGACCTACAAGTCGCAATTCTTCATCCAAAAAAACCCTTCAAAAACAGACTCCAACTGGTAATAGCTCACCTTACCTGATCACTCTCGTTACAGTGTGTATGGTAACACCCATTGTTTGATGTCCTCTGTGTATATAAATCTCCCTACTGTATTTTCCACTGAATGCATCCGATGAAGTGAGCTGTGGCTCACGAAAGCTTATGCTCAAATAAATGTGTTAGTCTCTAAGGTGCCACAGGTACTCCTTTTCTTTTTGTGGATACAGACTAACACAGCTGCTACTCTGAGATCTGTATATATGGGTAGTAGTCAATTTTTAATTTAGCATCTCTAACATTTTGCATTAAGAGGAAAACCTAAAAGGCTTGGATCCAGATGTCAGGAAAATCACATACTCCCAGCATCCTCCTGGGCCTAGGTCTGACCATTGTTTTTTTACAGAGAACTCAGATATCAAATCATATCCCAGACTCTTTAGTACTGTATAAGCATATACTCCAAGCGACTCTTTTGAAAGGGAACTTGGGAGAAGTTTCTCTGTATCCCACCCTCATCTTTTCCTGTTATGGTGGTAGAAGATGCAAAGTTAATGCAGGAGTAGCTGTCTACTGAATGCAGACAAGACTGGAAAAGAACAGAATTAATTTGTTGGTGCCTCTGTAAATAATACAGCTGAGAGTGGATATTGTTTCAACTCAGATTGTGGGCCATATTCTTGGCCACAACCTTATTATCTATTATTATTTCTATTGCCGAAGTGCTTATGAGCCCCCGTCACAAAGGGACCATAAAGCCACCTTAATTGCAAGTTAAAGATTCCCTTACGTGGCAAGGCAGGCAACACCAGCTCTACACCACCCCATCTGTCTGCACAGGAGGTGTAGAGAGAGTGTGGCAGGCAAAGTGGGGAAACAGAGCATCACAGTAATCTCAAGATGGTGGCACAAACTCTTTGAGTCACTGGCAACCAGGCACAGCTCAGAGCAAGCATGAGATAGCTTTAAATTGTGCCAAAAGCTCTGTCCGGCTCAACCATCAACAGTCTGTAAAGGTGGCATAAAGCTAGTCTTATGCCTCTCAAGCCCTGTGCCTGTCAGTTTCCTTTTCTTTTAAAAAAAAAATATCCCTGCACCTTAAACCCCCTTCAGATTCCCAAGGAAATCCCGGATGCAGGTTAACTTCTCAAGAGGTCACCATTATAAGGTGATTACAATGGCTACTGCTGAAGATGTGCAATGAACAGGTCTTTCTTGGGAGAGCAATATTTTTCCCGTTACCAGAACTTCAGGCCACCTTCTTATTTCATTGATAATATAGACATAAATCTTCCAAAGAGACTTCCAGTACTGTGGACACTGTCATTTTATCCAGCTATTGCCCCGGCTTAGTCACAAGTTCATTTGATTTTATTGATGCAGCCTCAAACTCGTCAGTCAAAGGAAACATTTGAGTGAAATCTGTATGTTTTTAATAGGGTAACGATTCTGAAAGCCCTCAGACAGAGCTTTCTTGGGACAAGAGAAAGAAACAAGAAGCCTACTACAATGAGCCCTTCAATACAGGATTTTTCACTACAAAAGCAGCATTATCTAATTGTTTTAGCATCGGATTGGAAGTCAAGAGATCACGGTTTTAATAGACTCTATCCGTGCCTCACTTATTAATCTCCCTAGCTATTATTACTCAATAATACATCCTAGCATACCAGGGATGTTGTGAGGCTTAATCATTGAATATATGTGAAGCACTTTAAAATCCTTGGATGCAGGTGCTATTCTGACAGCAGACATTTGGACCAACACACACAGGATCGAACAAGGGACTGCCAGATCTAAAGCCTGGGCTGCTACAACTTGATCCAAAACTCCACGAGTGGGGTTGTTCACAGACTCATATCTCCTGAGGATCAGGCGCAGAGGGGAACACACATCCACCAGTGGGTTACACTATATTGGGGTGCTCAATAGTACTATTTTAGTTTTATTTTTACAAGTAGTACCAAGAATGGTGTATTGGCTCTCTGTTTCTTATTAAATTTTATGAAACCTTGGTCCGAAGGTTCCTTGCTTTAAAGTACAGGAATGGTTTGGCTTCTACTGATAGGAAACATTGAAAAGGAAACAGTGAAAATCTCTCCAGAAGAACATGAGATGTGGATGTGTACATGCCTGTCATAAACATACAGCCAAGGGTAGCATAAAATACCTCCTTTACCTGTAAGGGTTAATCAGTTCCATTAACCTAGTTGGCACCTGACCAGAAGGACCAATGGGGAAAGAAGATACTTTCAAATCTCGGGAGGGTTTTTTGTTTGTGCTCTTTGTTCTCTCCAAGACAAAGAGAGAAACCAAACAAGTAATCCAGCTCCTACTGAATGATACATCTAAAATTACAGAAATAGTAATAGCAAGGAAATGCATTAGAGTATCTTTTGTTTTAGCTTGTGAATTTTCCCTATACTAAGAGGAAGGTTTATTCCTATTTTTTGTAACTTTAAAGTTTTGCCTAGAGGGGAATCCTCTGTGTTTTAAATCTTATTACCCTGAAAAATTACCTTCCATCCTGATTTTACAGAGGTGCTTCTTTTAGTTTTTTTCTTTATAATAAAGTTCTGTTTTTAAGAATCTGACTGGGGTTTTTTGTGTCCTAAAAACCCAAGGGTCTGGTCTGTGCTCACCTTGTTTACTCTCAAGCCTCCTCAGGAAAGGGGGTGAAGGGGCTTGGGGGGATATTTTGGGGAAACAGGAACTCCAAGTGCTCCTTTTCCTAAATCTTTGTCTAACTCACTTGGTGGTGGCAGCGATACCGTCCAAGGACAAGGAAGAATTTGTGCCTTGGGGAAGTTTTTAACTTAAGCTGGTAGAAATAAGCTTAGGGGGGTCTTTCGTGCAGGTCCCCACATCTGTACCCTAGAGTTCAGAGTGGGGAGGGAACCCCAACAACCCCCCATACTCTCAGGGAACACAGAACCTTTTTAGTAGCATCCTTTAAACACATGGACAAGGACAGCACCTCTGTTTTCCTTTCACACTAGCCTATTTCCATTTAAGAACCACTTAAAAGCTATCCACAGAACATTCTCAGCACAAATAATGAGTCCATGTTTATTAAGTCCTCAGTGAAAACAATTAAGAAAGGAGAATTAACTATTTTTCTAGTTTCCTTTGGCTTTCTTTGAGCCATGAATTTGCAGATTCTTACCTGTATGGAGTTATCAAGACTGCATACATGAGATAAGTTACATAGGTGCATTAACATTTATAAAGACAGGGCCTGTCAGGCTGTGTCATCTCTGCCAAAATAAGAAAGCAAAACCCAGCAGGAGCTAAGAACACTTACCATCTGGACAACTGGGAGATGCAGACAGCAGCATTCTCTTGCAAAATGGCTACTTCACAGCTGCAGCTGCTTGTCTCTGTCACAGTTAGAGGAACCAGGCCCCAGAAAAGCCTTCTGGGAAATAGTTCCCATAAGAGGCCAACCCCCAGCACAGAGGAAGGCAATTCTAGAGAAGGGGTTGTTTCTGCATCATGATGATTGCCACACTTGCTTAGGACACCTGGAAGAGATCAATAAGGAGATCAGCCTCCCCCCTTTGAAGAGCCCTTATTTAATATATTTGAGGCAGTATATTTATCAACCTCAAACTGTAAATATATGGAAATGTATTACTAACAATGTGTTACAGAAATGCTTAGAGGCCCCAGCTAAGACTGCGCTCCCCCGCCTCATTGTTGTAGGGACTGTGCAAACATATAGTAAATGCAGTCCTTGCCCAAAAGAGTGTACAATCTAAAAGAAAAGATGACCTTTGATAAGTCACTTAATCTCTCCATACCATCTATGAAATTAAGATAAACACTTTTCCCCCCTACCCTTTGTCTGTCTCGTCTATTGGTTTGTAAGCTTTTTGAGGCAGGGTATGTTTCTTACTATGTTTGTATACCAATGGGGCTCTGGCGTGCTTGGCCTCATGAGACTATGACCATTCAAATGATAAATAATAATACACAAAGTCTGTGGCAGAGCCAGGAAATGAATCTAAATCTCATCAAATCTAGGCCAATACATGAACCATAGGACAATCCTTCTTTAAAAAAAAAAGTCTCAAAACAATTAAAATATCCATAAACAACTGGAAATAGCTTGATCTGTAGTAGTAAGGAAAACAGAAAGCAGGCTATTGAATAAGAAAGAGCTTGAGTCTCACAGAAACACATTGAGTGTGTTGAAGTATCCAGTGTGGACTCGGAAAAATGGATTGCAAAAGTCAGAAAATCCTTGACTCAGAAATCTATGTCACTAGCAAATGGGAATTAAATTCTAATTATCAGTCTGACATGTTTCAAAAACTAAAAAACATTCTCTGCAACTGTCACAGAGTCAAAACAATTATTTGCATGCATGAGCAGATGTCAGATATTGTAGGGGCGTATATGTACTTGCAAATTTAAAACAGAAAATTTTCTAAAATTGGAGGTATAATCTGTTACCCTAATTGCAACATATACACAAATCTTGCGTGGAGGGAAAAGTGCTGATTTAGTCTTTCTATTTTTCTCTAACACAGAAGCTGACTTCTGAGCACAAATAAACTGAAGTAGAATAGAGAATCAATCACATCTTTAGACAGATCCAAAAACCTCTCCAGTTTTCCAGCCTCATCTTTGAATTCTGTTGTTTTGCCTTCTGTTCTGTTACTGTTATTTGCAAACTGGAAGAGTATATTGTATTTTGATTGTATTTGTACTGTATTTAATGGCAATAGTAGCTTGCACTGACAATATACAATGCCTCTTATACCCAACTATACCCAGAGTACTTTACAAATGTAGGCCCAGCATCTGCAAATAATTCTCATGTAAGGATGGTTACTGTTTTTTATTTTTATCCCAGAGCATCCAAAGTGTAAAAAGAAAAGGAGTACTTGTGGCACCTTAGAGACTAACACATTTATTTGAGCATAAATTTTCGTGAGCTACAGCTCACTAGTACTTGTGGCACCTTAGAGACTAACAAATTTATTTGAGCAAACTGCTGTAGCTCACGAAAGCTTATGCTCAAATAAATTTGTTAGTTTCTAAGGTGCCACAAGTACTCCTTTTCTTTCTGCGGATACAGACTAACATGGCTGCTACTCTGAAACCCATCCAAAGTGTGTTTTCCATCCAGAATCCATTATCCCACCCCCAAGATCTGACAGTCTAAAGATTGACATGTATGCAAACAAAGCAGATGGGGGGAGCAAATACATATGTAAAAATGCTGTAAATTATACCTAGATTGTTCTTTCAGGTGTGACACTGTCAATTTTCTTGTAGGCATCATGACAGAAATTGGTCTTCAGGAGAGACTTCAATGTGGAGAAACTTAGGGCCTCACCCCAGATTTGTTCAGGAAAAATTTTCCATGCACCCTCACCCAAGTTCAGGTCATAGAATTAGACCATTAAACTAAATACAAGCGACATACTTTTTCACCAAACATTCACATGTAACCATCTCCAGGGTGGAGTGCAATAACTGCTTAACAGCATCCAGCTACACTACAAGGCTTAAATTGTAGGGGAAGTTGAGGTAAGTAAAACTACATTCCCATCACCACCATCATACAGAAAACAGGAGAGTTATGTCTGTTTTTATTTATCATAGTTCTTTGCACATCGTAAAGAATAATTGCCATGGTTATGTTAAACAACTAAATTCAAAGGAGTCCAATCTGTTCTCCTCTAGCTTCCACTGAGGAGATCCCTAAACTGGTGGTATAACCTGGTGTAGATCCACTGAAGTCAATGGAACTATGCCACTTTTATACCAGTACCTGGCCTGATGTGTGTACTGACCAGTTAATAAGCTGTCAAATAATGATTTGCAGTGAAAGGTTCTGCACTACAATTTTCCTGGTTTGGTATGGTGGCAGCAACCTCTCCAACAAGAGCACACGCATGAGACTCAGGAGTTCCCTACATCCCCGCGGCAACACATTAGGATGCAATTCAGAAAAGCACTTAAAGCCACGCTTAAATTGGAGATCATATTTAAGTCTCATTGGGACTTAGGCAGATGCTGAAGGGCTTTCTTGAACAGGGTGTTTTCCTGAATTGGAGCCTGTGTTTCTTCCGGTGTTCGTGTCAATGTCTCTGCACTACGAAGCCGTCACTTTTCATGACTGTTTTCTCAGGTTATAGCGACATTTGATTACCTGGCTCTGCTGCCACAGCAGCTTGTCAAAGTTAGACTGAGTATGCGTCTTTGTGATTTAATTAAGTTGAGAAAGAAATCTACTCTTAGAGTTGATCGTTGTTGTTATTATCTGAGATTGTGTCAGCAAGAAGGATTTTATCATCTAACAGGGAACAAAAACAGTTTTGTCCATAATGCTTATTTAGTATGCATGTAATAACTATATTTTTATTTTGCTATCACATTCAGTTTGAGCAAGATAGGGATGATGCTAATGTCTCCAGGGATTTTCTTGGAAAAAAATGTATTTATAAACAAGTGTGAATGAGTCTAAAGTATATTTTTATTTATTAAGTTCACTGACTGCTTTCCATTCAGAAGATATGGAACTAGAATAAATTAGGACCTTGGGGAATTTGTGCATTCAATGAAGCTAATGACTAACACTTTGGTCATGTTTTCTGTTATGTAATAATATATCCTGTAGCCTTTTGGACTAATCAAGTGAAATAAGGGGATTTATGTACCAATGTGCTTTAAGAAGAGGGCTTAAGCAGATTCCCAAAGTAATTTCATTTGACATTCAAAGCTATTTGATTGCAATATTTGAATACTTCTAGCCACATTTGTATTCAGCATGTGGAAATCCGAGTTTTGTAATGCTTTGAAGTTGACTAATACATGATGTTGGTTTCTTTTCCTTTTCTGCAGTGCTGATTGATTTCATATCACCCTGGCAAAAACACTGAGAGTACATTCCAAATTTCTAGCATTATAAAATCCCAGAGTCACTGGCATACTGTGGACTATTATGTGGTATTTGGGGACATGATATTCAAGCGGAAGAAATGGAAGCCTTATTGTATATTAATGACTAACAATTTTTCTCCAGTGTGAATTTTGCTAAGATGGTAGACAATAAAAATCTAATGTAAATATATTTGTAAGAATGTGTTATTTGTGAGAATTTTATTAATATGATATGGTTTCACCTTAACCCAAGGGCTGGGATTCTTGGAAGACACAAAGGCAATGGTGACATGTACACATAATCCTCCTCTTTCCCCATCATTCTTCCTGTTCTTCCTCCTCACTTTTCTGTCCTTTTATACTTACTGTATATAGGTCACATTCTGCTTTAAAACTTGACTGCAGAGGAAGCTAGCAGCTTGGGCTATTTATATTTGAATTATGGGCATTTTTGCAGTAAATTGAGTTAGAATATCAGCTATAAGGATGGAGGAAGAAGGGATCTATGACAAAGATAAATACAAGAGTGTGCCACTTGTAGACAGAACACACACTTGGAATGAATCCCCGGGCATGAAGCATCTTAAAGTTCCAATAGCCATTCCACTCATTTTGCTTAGAACACTTTAGTTCTTTGCTGTCCAAAAAAGTTGCCACGTGCCGATTACATGAATGTCACTATGCATGTACACTTTAATATAGAGTTCTCACTTACATTAGGATATTAACAAGAGTATTGAAGATCCCTTTCTTGCAATCACACACACAAATGCCAGTTCTGTTTTTGTTCCACCAATGACTTCCACCTGACATTCAATCCAAACACTGCCCTCAAGTAATTAACATAGTAAAAAGTCAACAAACAAAAAACTCCAGAAGCTGCCTGAAAAGCAGAGTTTATGACCTTTCACTAATAATACCCCCAGCTTGCCACAACCCCAGCTCCACCAGTATTGCTAGTCCTTGCTGCACAAGGGCCCTCAGCAACTAGAAGAGGGTTCTGGCCCTCTTGATGGTATGGATAATAAATTAAATATAGTAATAAGTAAGAATCACATAGTTCTGACCTGATTTGTAGCTATAGGGAACACATGGGAAAGAATTCACCTTTTTTAGGTAAGGGGGAATAAAGACGACACCTAAGAACTAAATCTTTTTTACTCACTTGTGCACTCCTCCTTGGAGTGAGTAGTTCCACTTCAACTGCTCATGTGGGTCTGGTAAGGTTTGCCAGATCCAGTCCTACCAAATAGTGAAAGAACTTGGAGATAAACAGCTCAGTGTTTCTCTATTCTGGCTACCTTTTAAGAAACATGTTCATACAGTCCCCTTAATTTGTATGTTATGCTGCTTTCTCCCTCACCCTTGCAAAATGCAGCACCATGGAGGTTGCTAAGCAACATTCTTGATAAGGTCTCAGCATCCATCAGTGAAATGCTACATTCTTCCACGCTCTGCTCCATCTCAGAACTGAGGAGGGTGTCACTCAAAGAACATCAGTAAATGCTGGCTTCTGAGGTAGGAAACAGAGGCCTTGACAGGTGGAGAAGAAAGAGGCTACTATTTTTAAATAACTAACTGGTTTTGAGAGAGAGAGATTACAGAACTCTGATTTTGCAGTCAGTGAAATAGGAGGTCTTTGGCAGGTCAGAAAGCCTTCTTAATTTAGTATGGATTTTTGGTTTGAACTAAGGGTTTGGTTGTTGTTTTTTTAGCACTCCTCTACCTAGGTACACAGCAGTTTAGTGCTCTCTCTAAAGAAGAAAACATTTTAAAGCTATTACACTAAATGAGCGAGAAAAAGCCGGTATAACCATTTGCTACCACTCATGTTTATCTAGTGGCCAAAACTAAAATGTGGTTAAGAGTTTTCCACGTAGCAGATTCAAACCCATCAGTCTTATGTGAGGCTATAATTAAAATAGGCAGTATTCCCTAAGAAGTGTGCTTGTGATGTATTTCCATGTAGCTGTGTGTGCATGTGTGTGTGTGAGATGCCAGCTATCAGATGGATCAGACCAGCACTTTTCAGAACCTAATTATTTTTCTACCTACTCTGTTATAATTAGAGTTGGGTGAATAATTCATAATGAATAATTTATTTGCTTAATTTCACCTTTTTCCCCCTATCAATAGCTGTCCACAGGCTGTGGAATTCTTGAATTTATTCATAATTCAAAATTTCTTCAGTGATTAATTCTTGGTCTACAGATCAAGTAACAACTGCAAATTGCAAATACTCACAATTCAAAATTCATGCTGGCTACTGGTATGGTTCATAAGTTGCTGGGAATTGCTTCTGTTTCCCTCTTTGGATGATCAGCCAATGAAGCACTGATTGCAATTTGTGGGGGGTTTTACAACTGAATATGCAATTTGATATTTTCCTGTGGTGAATATTAGCTAAAATTCACTTTTTGCAAGTATTTGCACTGGTAAACCAAAATGTTCATGGAAAATGAACATAAAAATGTAGCAAACAGCTGAATCTAAATTTGCTTTCAAATATTTATAAAATAATTTTTTCCTCTACTGTTTGCTCAGATCTAGTTAAAATCACACCAGACGTTGATCCAACCCCTTTATTGTCTACCTGAATATGTCAGTCAGACCTCCATCAGAGTTGTCTATTCTGTTATAGCTGGGATCACCAGGTGGTGTTGTTACACATAGTCTTAGCAGTTCTTTTTTTTTTTTTTTTTTTTTTAAGCATCTGAGCAAATTTTTAGTCTTGGAAGAAAATGCTGTGTTACTTTTGTTTTCCTTATGTTGTTTTTCTGATGCAGATTCTTTGAGGGAGCTGTGGCAAGCAGCAAGGTAGTTTTCTCTCTGCCCTAATCTCTCTAACTAAAGTCAATTCTTGCAAAGGAGTGCTCCATAGGATCCAAGCATTGGTGTTTCAGTTAAGTTCCTGACAGAAGATATTTCTTGTGCATTCTTTGTGATAACTTCTGTTCTAGAAGAGGTGCATATGTGGAAATAAAACAAAGTCACACTAAGCATATACCCAGACTCTGTGTCACTGATCTCTCCTTCAGCAGGGGGCAACTCTGCAAAGCCCCAGGCATCTACTACTGCTCAGCACAGGGGGTGACAATATCAGGTAAGTAATGACAGCATTACATAATAACTAACATTATGAATACAACAGAGGTTCCCAAACTCTTGTCTATGGATCATTGGTAGTCTACAGAGAGTTGCTTAGTCACACAGGACTTGATCCAAGGCCTATTGGAATCAATGGGAGCATTTTCATAGACTTCAATGGGCTTTGGTGCTGGCACATCGCCTTTTTGCATCAAAGAGAAATAGAAGAGATGGGTGGGAGAGATTAAATGAAAAGCAAAAAGCAAACACAGTGCGACTAATTTTTTTCCAAAAAGCACAACACACTTATCACATTCAAATCAACTAAAAAGGCATTAAATACTCTCCTGTGTAATCACTGAAGTTGCAACAGGGGTCTTGTGTGACGAGGAATGCGAGAGTGTGGGGCCCATGCAGTCACAAAGAAGAGAGGTAGGTGGTCCACAGTACAATCCTTTTAGTCCACCAGACAATCTCTTTAAAATGTGGCCCACAATATGAAAAAACTGGTCTAGATCTAGCATAAAACACTTGTCTCAGTATAACAGTTATTCTAAAGCAGGCAAAACTCTGGCCAGCTTGGTGGCCTAGAAGTATGGCTCATCATGACTGTGATGAAGTGAAAATTTTCTGTAACATTTTTATGAACGCTATGCATGGCAATGACTGACTTGACTAGGAATTGCTACCCAGCAAGTGAAAAAGAATTCAAAATCTGCTTTGGGGGTAGAATTGGAAACATGAGGTAATTGTGTTGTGTAACTGTCTGTGGCGGTATGAATGAATCGTTAAAGACCGGCTGAAACCCACCCATATTGATGGAGCAGACAAAACCAATTGGAACCCTAACGACCAAACAACTGACACCTAACAATAGGAAACTCCAGCATATGAACATGTGAATTCAGCAGGGGTCTGCAGGAGGAGGACAAGGGACAGAGAAGTGACAGGCAGCTGGGATAAGACCGGGTCTCTGGAGAGCCAAAGGAATTCAGCTGGGACTGGGAGACAGAGACACAGAGAGGAAGTCAAGATGCTTTCACGGTAGCATGGCTCAGGGAAGCCCTGACTTGGCCAATATGGACTATGTCTTCACCTTTGCTTCTCTGTGCTAACCTAAGGACTTCCCGATGCTGTGTTCCAGTTGGCTAATAAACCCTACTCTTATTTGAAAAGGCTGCCTGGTGTCACTGCACATACTGGCAGAGATGCATTGATCCCTGAAGAGGGCAAACATTCTCTGAAGAAGAATATCTCAGTTGGACTCATTGGGCAGAGCTCACAGTGTGAAACAGGAGTGCTGGAGTCTAGAGGCTCAGTCTCTGAGGCACTGTGGCCATATGGCCTATGCTTAAAGAAGAGCAGGACCCTTTGGGGGTCTGTCACACTGAAGGGACTCCAAGGAACCATTTAAAAACTGAGGAGTGGCACACAACCTTTGAGTCCATGACATTTACCATACAGGAGATATAGGTTTAGTCTTTGTCTTGGTCTCTTGTCGTATGTGCCAGTCATCTCACGGTGACAGAAGGCCCAGTTCACCATCACCCTGCATTCGCATGACTACAAAGTGGGTGTAAAATGCCACCAGATCCATTTCACACACACATTACACTGAAATGGCTCCATTTCACACACACATTACACTGTGAGTACACAAGGTGGAGAGCAGTGATGAGTACACAAGGTGGAGGGCAGTGATGAATCAGGCCCAGCACCTTTATCCCCTTAGAGAGAAGTAGGGCTTTATGTCACTCAAAGCTTGAACCATTTAGATTGTAAATGGAACTGTGCCCATTCCTCTGATCAGAAAGAAGCTTGCTAGTGCCTGTGATGTGGAGACTTGGTGGTGATTAGTGTAAAAACTGTGGGAGGATGGAGAGGACCTTTACAGCACTGAAAGAAATCCAAAAAGTGCCCTGGAAAGAGAATAAGTTCCTGAAAATTGAAACTAGAATTCTGTGCAGACTTGAACCACAAGAGGCCTGAAGACACAATTAGGAGGGGTCTGAGTTTGGAAATATTGGAAAATATTAGCTAGCCACTTGTCTACAGCGATTTGTTTTTCTAAAGACATATTATCCAATAGTCCTACCCTTTAATTTATAGAAAGGTATATTCACTGCCCATTTATATCTGGAAATGGGAACAGAACCATCCTCAATTGTATGTCTCCATCTTAGTCACGGAGGATGAGTGACAATTTTTGTTTCGCTATTGTAACTCACTAATAATATATGGGTTTGTCACCAAAAAAGCCACTACCCTAAAAAAATTTCAAATGAGATAAAAGTTATCCAGTCCCGAGACATAAACCTTATTTTCCTAAGGCTCAATGGACCCTCCATACATAGCACTGTCTGTTTGTCTGTCTCCATACATAGCACTGTCCATTTGTTGGCTGATAATCTTATCTGTAAAATCTACCACAAATATTAATAAACAGCTGCAGAAGTCTTGCTTGGAAAGAAAATAAAATGTGATTCAAGTAATATTAAATGGTGAAAGACGCTCCGAATTAACATAGTTTTATTTCTTGAAAGAACAAGGAATTTTGGGTGTCTCAGAATTATTTGGAGCTCTTAAAAGAAATTAGTGATTTTAAGGGTAGTACCTCAGTTATGACATGGACTCAGGAGTTAGGAAAGCCAGCTTCTCTTCCTGCCTCTGCCACAGACATGTTGAGTAAACTTGGGCAAGTCACTTAGGCCCTGACCCACAAACATTTAGGCACAGAGAGTATGTCTACACTGCAATAAAATGCCCTTGGCCGGCCCATGTCCACTGACTCAGGCTTGTGGCACTTGGGCTGCTGGGTTATAAAATTGCAGTGTAGATGTTTGGACTCAGGCTGGAGACTGAGCTCTGGACCCCATGAGTGGGGAGGGTCCCAGATACTGTGCCCCTCAAAATCCATTCATGGAAAGGATCCTCTGTGTGTGAATCTTCCCTCACTACATAATCTCACAGCCACTTCTCCACAGTATCAACTTCTTCTCAAGACCTCATGGAAGGTGTTCCCTGGGGTTGGGATATAAACAGGCAGGACCTGGCAGGCTGCAGTGGGGTGTGGGCAGTATTTGTGTTGGAGGAGATGCTGAGTTTGGACAGTGAAGATTTCCTCTAAGGACGATTCAAAGGGCAATGTTCAAGAGAAGTCTCTGATACAAAACTTCCTTACAGCCCTGTTGCCA